TGTCAGCTCCTGCAGTCAGGCCGGCAGGGTGGCAATCTGGCACTGAGCCAGGCAGCAGAGCACGCCTGCAAGAGCTGGTGGAGACGGCCGCGTTGGTGCATGTGCAGGAGCAGGAAGTTGAAAATCCCATGACAGACATACTAGAATGGTGCCTGCTCAATAGAAAGATTGTCTAATTACAAAACAATATGACCCTCACCACATTCACTAAACTTTAACTGGCCACTTTTATGTGCCATTTCCAAGGATAAATCTCAAAGCTAATATCTCTTCCTTCTGTACCCAATAGCCTTGTTTATGAGAATTCATGTAAATCCTTTTCCCCAGCATAAACATTTGAATGAGTAACATGGTCTTGGTGAACTGCTGTAGGTTTTTGTTTTGTGATCATTAGAGATTAGTGACTATAATAAGTCATTTTGAACATTTTATTTCTGTAAAAAAATTGTGTACCTTCTATACTTACAAGTACTCTATAAAACACAGCTGCAAAGGTTTATTTAACTCTAAGTTTTTTCTTTCTTTATAAATAAGTGTCACTGAATCCCATTCCCTTTGTCTCAGCAGTGGCTGAGTTGCAACAGGAAGGTGCACTAGAACCTCTAGGGCACTAGAATCATACTGAGGTGGAGTTTATGGCTTCATTCTCTCTAGAACAGGGTTTCCCAACCTATGGGTCGGGACCAAATATGGGTCACCATTACATTTCAAAAGAGTTGCCAAGTATCCCCCCCAAGTGGCTCTGCTCTCCCTCCTCCCCCCATTTTTGAATTGCCTTGAGTCACCAAGTCTTCCTGAATTGTCAAAATGGGTCCCCATCTGGAAAAGGTTGGGAACCACTGCTCTAGAAACTGGGGGAAGAATGAATCCCATCTCCAGGATGGGAAGGAAAACTGCTAGCAATTTGTACCTGGGGGAAATGGGAATGCCTGGGCTATATGCTCTCTTTTACCTCTTTACCTGGCTTTTACCCCTGCTGTGCTCCTTGGCTTCTGCTCCCTGGTGACTGCAAGAATTTAGGCTTCTTGTTGCCTACTCAGCAGGCATCAAAGTGACTCTGATGAAGCGGGATGAATGACTAACTGCAGAAAAGCAGTAATAGATATGTAGCCGTGTTAGTCTGGTCTAGCTGAAACAAAAAACAGGACTATGTATTACTTAAAGACTAACAAGATGGTTATCACGTCTAATATCATTAGCTCACAGACATTTACCTCCCCCCGCCCCCATCCCTCTTCTGTTCTGAAATTTGATTTGTCCTTTTCACATGTGTTCATTTTTTTTTATTGTATCCTTTGGTATATATGGTTGTGCTAATTTTCTTCCACAATTTCATCTGAGGAAGTGGGTCTGGCCCACAAAAGCCATCTTGTTAGTCTTTAAGTAATACATAGTCCTGTTTTTCGTTTCAGCTAGACCAGACTAACACAGCTACATATCTATTACTGTTCTTGAACTTATAACTCAATTGGTTAGGTCCAATAATGGTATCAGCAGAGTGAATATGTGGACAAAGCTGGCAACGGGGTTTGTTGTAAGGGAAAGTTCCAGGGTTGGTGTTAGTGGGGTATGTCCTTTGGTTGTTGGTAAGAATCATCTTGAGGTTAGGTGGTTGTCTATAGGGATACGTCTAAACTACATGGCTCTGTCGACGGAGCCATGTAGATTTGTTTGTTTGGCAAAGGGAAATGAAGCTGCGATTTTAAATAATCGTGGCTTCATTAAAATTTAAATGGCTGCCGCACTGAGCCGACAAACAGCTGGTCAGCTGTTTGTCGGCTCAGCACGCTAGTCTGGATGCTCCCGCGCCGACCTGAAAACCCTTTATCGACCTCCCCGTTATGCCTCCTAGGATGAGGTTTACCGGGGAGGTCGATAAAGGGCTTTCATGTCGACAGGGGAGTGTCCAGACTGCCCCGATCTGCCGACGAACAGCTGATCGGCAGAGCGGGGCAGCCAGACTAGGCACTGCTGAGCACCCACATCTGCCTGTTCGCCCCCAATCTAATCTCTTCTTTTGCAGTTCCTGATGTTTGTCATTCCCATCTTCCAGACCTGGGGCATTGGCAGGCCATTCCCAGCATTCTTCACTCCCTCATCCTTCCCAGACCTGGTGTGGTAAGACGGGAGAGGAGTTGAATGAGGGAAAGAAGGAGACAGATGCATTTAGCTCTTTTTGCTCCCTTTTCCCTTAGTCTAAGAAAGGTGTCAGCTACTTCCCTTCCTTGTCTACTAACCAAAAAGCCCTCTCTGCTCCTGAGGGCAAGAGTGGAGACCTCAGGATGTTCTCTACAGAGGGTAAGAAAGTAGGAAATGCAGCCAATTAGAAGGAGTTTTCCTTTGGGTATGGTAATCCTGAAATTTTGTGACAGGCCTGGGATTTCTCCCATTATAGCTACCCTGGCTATAAAAATTGTCAATCAAAAAACCCCCAACTAAGTATCCCTTTACTATATTACAGCATTTGAAGCTGGGAACAGTGCAGGGAGTGTTTTCATTCATAGTTAAATGAGTATTCTTTGCATGTGCATAGTTTATCCATGAAGTAAAAGAGCCTTCAGTACATAACACCCTTGTGTTTGAAGAATTGGTAGCAGCAAGACACATAAGGGGAAAAATGCAGGTAAGAAGATTCCTGTTAAAAAATGCTTGTTTAATAAACAGTAGACCTAGTAGTGAGTTGAAAATGGAACAACTTGTCCTATTGCTTAAACAAAGGGGGAAAAGGATGATAAAATAATGGAAAAAAAGAAGATAGGACTTTTTGGCATTTGTATTGGAGACAATTTTGAAATAAATCAGACTGAAATATACATCCATTTAGCATTCATACTTACTTAAGAACCATTTTTAGTTAATTCTCTTGTTTATATTTTAAGCAAGTTTCTGTTCCCTCAGCCTGTCTTTCCATCATACTTGATTCTACAGAGAAGTCATGCTGTCTCTATGGCACCGCTGTTTCTATGGCAACAGACTCGGATGTTATACACAGAATTTTGATTTCTTTGTGGTAAAGAGAAAGCAGGTTTTGAAGGAGAGATCCCCTATTGAAACATAGGTGTTTTAAATGATAGCAAAAGAAATGCCCTCCTTGAGCACATTTATACCAAATCAGAGGCTTGTATACTAGTCTGTAGTGGTCTAAGCGTAAGAGAGAGCTACAAACTCACAAGCTCTCATCATGGCTTTTATACAGCCTTCCTTTGTGGGCAAATTACTTATCCTGTCTCTCTTATTCTTCATCTGTAAAATTGAGGTAATATTTAAATACAGAGGTGAAAGTAAGCAGGTGCTCCAGCAAGAGCTGGCTGAGATCCTGCAAAAGCCAGCAGGGTGCTATTTAAAGAGGTGGCAGGGACCAGAGTTGCAATAGGACAGTACCTGTAAAAACATTTTTAAATTACTTTCACCCTTGTTTAAATACCTTCATAAGGATGGAGTTAAAGTCATATATAGAGGAGAATATTTGCAATATTTTCTATATGAATAAGGAATAATATTATGTCTTTCTGAAGTTACTTTTGCCAGCTAACCAACAACAGACAGATTTGTTAGGGATCTCTTCAGGCAAAAAGAGAGGAAATGAGCACTCCACTTCAAGGCAGAGCCTATTCTTTTGAACAACCAATTGGGTGCTAGAATATACATGAATCTGTTTCACTTTATGTTCTTACTTGCCAACACTTCATATTCTCAGAGGTTTCATGAGGACATATTTTTTCAAGCCGCAAAACCTCACTACTTTTACTGTCATTATTGCTAGCTATTTAGAATGGAAATGGTGGAATCTGACCCTCAAGTGGAAATGTTATGTCACCATGAAGAAAGTGATCATATTTTACATATGAGCTTCCTACCTTTGGTGCCTGGATGTGGAGTTTTTACTGCAAAGATCTGATTTAATTAACTTCAGGCAAAACCGCAAAGCATTCTGTATTTTAATGAAAGCCTGATTCCACAGTCCTCTCTCAAAGCTCTGCATAATTTTATTTATGCTCCTTGTCAAGCTTCATATAATCATCAATAATGTTACTACTGTTGTTAAGTTTATTATTATTTGTATTGTATTAGAGCAGTATTTCCCAATCTTTTTTTATAAAGTACCACATTTAAAAAAAAAAAAAAGTACCCCCAGTACCTACAGTTGTCAGACACACCAATTTTTTTTCTAGCATTGCAACACATTTGTTTAAACAACTTAAGCGTAGCTGGGTGAGTGATGACATTTTTGGGTGTAACAAGTACAAAAATAATAAACCACTGTAAAACTTAAAACAAAAATTCAGTTTTCTCCAAATTTCAGTTGTGTTGGTATACCCCCCCAGACTGCTCTCGAGTACCCCTAATGGTACTCGAACCACTGGTTGAGAAATACTGCATTAGAACCTAGGAACCCTGTCATAGCTCTGGACTTCTGGCAATGTCTTTGCTTTGGATCATCAGCTGTTTTATTTTAAATCCTCTGTGATGACATTTTCTTATACAAATATTGCATATGCTTTATTATTGATTTGATAATAGACTACTTACCATAGGCTTGCATTGGCTATATCTTAGCAATTAAAGCATTCCATGGAAGAAACCATATTTTACTGCTGAGATCAGGACTGGTGACAGACTTTGCTGGGCCCTCGACAATGTGAGGAGGGGGATTTGGCTCTGGGCCACCAAGAAGGGGCAGGACCTTGGTCAGAAGGGGTGGTGCTTGGGGTAGCTAACCCTCAGCACCATCTCTGGACTGCACTGTGTGGAGCTCTGGCAGTGATTTAAATAGCTTGGGACTCTGGCCTCTGCTGCCGCCCTGGTAGCAGCAGTTACAGCCTAGAGCCCTTGGTCCTTTTAAATCACTCAGCTCCAACTGTCCCCTTCACCCTACCACCCCACACTTCCCTTTTCAGTGGCCCTTCCTGAAATGCAAAAATAGAATTAGAAAGCCTGTTCTTTTGGAATGTCAGTTATGACTTGTGTGATGCACTTTGATTTTGGTACAGGCAGTCCCCGGGTTACGTACAAGATAGGGACTGTAGGTTTGTTCTTAAGTTGAATCTGTATGTAAGTCGGAACTGGCGTCCAGATTCAGCCGCTGCTGAAACTGACCGCCAGGGAGACGGGGGGGCAAAGCAGAGCCAAGCCGCGGAGCGCGTGGGCAGCGGATAACCCTGTCCGCTGCCCGCGGG